GGACCCTCCTGCACAGCAGGGCCCAGAGCGGCCAAGGCTCCCCAGCACGGCTGGAGCTGCTGGCACAGCTTGGCCCAGCTGGACAGCTGCCCCTCAAGGCCCCAAGCAAGCAGGGGATGGCTCTGGGCAGGGTCCCTGACCAGGAGCGGGCCCCAGAGCACCTCTGCCTTTCAAGGGCAATCTCGTCCCCGCTCTTTCTCCTGCCCACCTTGCTTTGCCTCTGCCTGCTGCTCCTGGGGCTGCTCTTGGCCAGGCAGCCTCAGTGGGAGCCAGCACTGGCTGCAGCCCCAGTGGGCTCCCCAGGACATGGCCCAGCAATTAAGAGGCCAATGAAAGGCCTGGACAGAAGCAGAACTCTCAGCAGAGTTATTTGGGCAACCACTGATTACCCACAAGTGCACAGCGGCCTCACTGAGAATGTTTCCTGACCATGAGCAGCCTTTCAAGAAGCTGGAGGGTGGAGATGAACAACAACTTACCGTTTCTTGTCCTTCCACCACCGGAATCCAACATAGCACAGGAGCATGGAAAGTGGCACTGTGAACAGTGTCACTGCTGTGCCTATCATGCAGGACTTGCGCGCATCCTGCGGGCAGAACACTCTTGGGGTGCTCGATGGATTCTCAGCATTTATACTGGACTTGCCAAGCGCATCTGTGGGAGCAATGAGCAGCGTGAGCCTGTGCTGTGCTCCATTGCTGAGCTGGCAGCACGGTGGATACGGCCAGGACATTCTCTGTTTCCCCCAGAGCTGGGGCCTGCAGGCACCTTGCCACCCCTTGGCACAGGCTGTGCCACCCAACAAAGCCCAGAAGGCCGAGAGCAGAGCCTGGGACAGCACAGCTGCTTGGGCAGTGGCTCCTTCCAGGGACACGGGCCAAACCCATCCCTGAGCAGCCACTGCCACCCCTGACCCTCCCTGCTCTGTGACAGCTCCCCCAGCCCAAGGGGACAGAGCCAGGCCCTGTAAGGGGCCAGTGCATCCCCTGCCCAGTTGGGAGCCAGGGCTGGCTGTGGCCCTGGGCTCACGGCAGGGCTCCCACTCTGGGCTGCTCCTGTGTCTTGGGCCTCTGGATGCTTAGGGCCAGCTCCAGGAGCAGCTGCAGGGGGAGAGATGTTGGTGCACAAGTCCCAATTCCCAGGGGCAGGGAATGAGCTCCAGAGGCCTGGAAGCCGTGGCACCTCCAGCTTTGGCTGCTGCCGGGCCATGCAGGCCCTGAGGGAAGAGCTGCTGGCACACAGCCCTGCCGAGGGAGAGCCCAGCACAGCAATTACCTCCTGGGCCTGGGCCTGGCATCTCCTCCTTTCCTGCATCAGGAGTTGGCACAGGGCCATTCCTTCCTCTAGCATATGCCATCATCTGCACAAACATCTGCTCCAGCACTTGAGAAAGGAAAAAGGACAGCTGGATAAGATAGAACTGTTCACCATTAGGGGAGGTATCTTCAGGAGGCAATACTTGTTAAAGTCATGGATAAAGGTCAGGAAAATATCCAGGTTATTGGGGCTGGGCCAGGGCCCTCCCTCCTCCAAACAGCCACTACACCTGATCTAGCCCAAGACCAGGAATTTCAGGGGATCTCAGGGTGTGCATGGCCTATGCTGCAGTTTGGGCTCCCTGTCATCTGATGCCAAATGCCTTCCTACAGGGACTGGGGAGAAGCTGCAGCCAGGCCATGCTGGGAAACAGCCCTGAAGGCCATGAAAGCAGCAGCGGGGCAGCAAGGCTGCCATGGATCCCTTCCTGCTGTGCCAGGCACGGCGTGTCCAGATGTGCCCCTGGCTTCTGGATGTCAGGAGAAGGCTGAGGGACATGAACCCACCATGGCGTCTCTCCAGATCACTCAGCATCCTGTCCAGAAGTTGGGATGCCTCCAGGGATTTCTTGTCTTCTATCTCTTTGTTCTTCCATCTTGGAGGACCTTAATGGAAAGTAGTTCTGTTTCTCCATCAGTCCAGAGTAGCAGTGAGTGTACCCGGATTCCTGGTGCCCTCCAAGGCACTCCCTCATCTCTGCCTTCCACTCAGTAGCAGGAGCAGGGGGGACAAGGTGCCTGCAGTGGGCCCACACTGGGATAGAAGAAGCCCCTTGCATGGCAGTCAGGGGAGAAAAGACTCCCTGGAGCTGCCAGCAGCTCTGAACTGAGCCCCAGACAGGGCCAGGGCTTGGCAGCAGCAACAGGAGCAGCTCAGTCCCCTGGGGCTGGCAAAGGAGCCATGCAAGGCACAGCCCTGGGGCACAGCCCTGGGCCCGGCCCCTTCCTCTCTGCTCTCCTTGTAGCTGCACAGAGCACACGGAAAGTGACACTGGCATTGCACATGGGAAGAAGATTGATAGTTAAATGCTCCTTCCTCCCACTGACAACAATTCTGTGGGATCACTCAGGGCTCCAGAAGGGAGGGGGGCGATGTTTCCAGAATCCATCAGCCTTCAGATTCTTAAGGGAAATGGCATGAGGGTGAGCTCTTGCCACACTCACACTGATAATTCTGTGCAGAAATGGACATTGAGAACTTGCCTCCAGCATTCTCCATGGGTCTCAAACCATTATGTGCCAGGGCTTTCAGATGCTCCATGTCACGATCCCAATCTAGAAGGGAGCACAGATCAGAACCATTCCATGGTGAGCTGGGATCCCCTTCTGCCTTAGGGAACTGGGCACTGCAAGGGGGTCGGGGAAGGCCATGGGAGCCACATGTCAATGGACATGGCCAAAGCTGCAGAGGGGCCTGGGCAGCTCTGGGCTGGCCCTGGACGCTCTCAACGCCTTTTCCATGCTCTGTGCAAAATCCCTGAAAGGCAGGCACTGCCAAGCAGCAGAGATTTACAGCTCAAGCCTCAGCAGGGCTCAGGCCCAGAGGCACAGCAATTACCTCCTGGGGCTGTGCCTGGCATGGCCTCCCTTCCTGCAGCAGAGGCTGCCCATGAGCCACTGCTTCCTCCGGGAAACGCCGCCTTCAGCACAGCCTTTGGGTTCATCTCTGGAGAAAGGAAAAGCCACAGCTGGATCAGATGGAACCATTCCCCTTTCAGGGAAGTGGTGTCATCATGATGCGATACTAGTCAAGGTCATGCATAAGGATTAGGAAATCATATAAACTTATGGAATTGGCCAGAGCCCTCCCTCCTCCAAACAGACCCTCAACCTGATCTAGCCCAAGACCAGGAAATTTCAGGGGATCTCAGGATGTGCATGGCCCATGCTGCAGTTTGGGCTCCCTGTCAGCTGATGCCAAATGCCTTCCTGCAGAGGCTGGGGAGAAGCTGCAGCCAGGCCAGGCTGGGAAACAGCCCTGCAGGCCATGAAAGCAGCAGTGGGACAGCGAGGCTGACATGGATCCCTTCCTGCTGTGCCAGCCATAGCATGTCCAGATGTGCAGAGAAAGCCCCCAGCTGCTGAGTCACAGGAGAAGGTTGAGGGACATGGACCCACCTTGTCCTCCCTGCAGCATTTCCTTCAGCATTTGCTGCATGGTATTGGATGGCTCATGGGGTTTCTGGTGTCCTGTAGCTTTGTTCTTTCCTCTTGGAGGACCTTATTAAAAAAATATATATCCATTTCCCAGGAATGGATCCTACAAAATCAGGGTTCAGCTTGTGGGATCAGCAAGGACACAATACTCACCCCTGCGATGGGAGCTGGGCTTGCGTGCAGCATCCAGCCCAGGAGCCTGGAAAGTCCTCCCTGCAGACACACCTGTAACTCAACAGTCACAGAAGCTTCAGTCATGTCTGCTGATCTGCACAGGCAGCACTGAGCCACAGGAGTGGTGAGGGGATCATGCAGGGTGAGGGCACACACGTGCATGGCTCTGTCCTGACACTTTCAGCGATGCTGCCCTGGCTGAGCTTCGGGCTCTGAGCAGGCAGCTCCCCCAGGGGGAAAGGCCTTGACCTACCCTCACCATGTCCCAGAGCCTCAGTCCTGGATGTGGGTTGAGAAGCCAGATCACCTTCACCAAGAGGCTTGGCTGCAAAGAAAGGCAGGACAGAAGAGTTCCCATGGCACTGTAGAAGATCCTCAGGCTCCCTGGGGCTGGCAAAGGAGCCACCCGAGGCACAGCCCCGGGGCACAGCCCTGGGCCCGGCCCCTTCCCTCTCTGCTCTTCTCCGTGGCTGCACAGAGCACACGGAAGGAGACACTGGCATTGCACATGGGAAGAGATTGACAGCTAAATGCTCCTTCCTCCCACTGACAGCAATGCTGTGGGATCACTCAGGGCTCCAGAAGGGAGCAGAGCGAGGGTTCCAGAATCCATCAGCCTTCAGATTCTTAAGTGAAGTGGCACGTAAGTTCTTGCCACTTCGACACTGATTATTCTGTGCGGAAAGGGACATTGAGAACTTGCCTCCAGCATTTTCCATGGGAATCAAACCGTCATGTCCCAGGGCTTCCAGATGCTCCATGTCACCATCCCAATCTAGAAGGGAGCACAGATCAGAACCATTCCATGGTGTGATGGGATGCCCTTCTGCCTTAAGGAACTGGGCACTGCAAGGGGGTCAGGTAAGGCCGTGGGAGCCAGATGTCAATGGACATGGCCAAAGCTGCAGAGGGGCCTGGGGAGCTCTAGGCTGGCTCTGGTCACTCTCCACCCTCTTTGCAGGCCCCATGCAACATTCCTGGAGAGGCAGCAGGACCAGCCCAGGGGCTCTGGGGACTCTCTCCCTCCCACAGAGGAAACCCTCCCTGAAGCCCTGCGGAAAACCATCCCCAATGCTTCCCAGGGAGAAGGAAGTGCTGTCCCAGGAAAGGGAAGCCAGGCCCTGGGCTCACCTGCTCCCTGTGCTCGCCATGGAGCAGCCTGGGCAGCCCTGTCAGGCAGGGCCACTGCCAGGAGGAGCAGGAGGATGAGGCGCAGAGCAAAGGCCATGGTGCCTTGCCCACTGCCAGTCCTGCAGCTCTTGCTGCCACCACTGTCCTGACACCGCTGTCCCAATGTCAGCACCGCTGCTGCCGCTGCCGCTGCTGCCACAACAGTCGTGGTCAAGGACTGACTGCTTGGTCCTTGTGGTGCTGTGCAACCACGGGGCTCTGGGACCTCTGTGACCTCAGAGCCTGCTGTCACCTCAGCCTGCTGTCACCCCAGAGACTGCTGTGACCTCATGGCCTTGGCTGTACCCCCTGAGTGTTCTCCCCTCTGTACTCCAATCTGTACTGGACTGATTGTAAATCTTTGACTTCATCAAAGGGTCATTGCTAAACAAAACCTTGGTTTTGCCTGCTGACATTGCTGGTCATGTTCTGTCCCATGAGATGCTCTTGATGGTTCCCTCTTTTCCTGGGCATGGCACTGGAGGAGGTCCAGGCCCAGGTGATGCCACTGAAGGAAATGTGCCCTCAGCCCAGGGACACTCAACACAGACTCCCCCAGCCCCTCGGGGCCCCGCTGCTGGTCACAGCAGCCCCTGCCTGGCTCCTGCCTGCCCACACCGTGGTCAGCCCCGCCTGCTCCTGGACATGGAGCTCAGCCAGGGCTGGTGCTGTGTGGGCTTTGCTGGTGGTACCAGCCAGACACTGGGGTGACAGCTCCATCTCTTTATTGGAACAGAAGAGCTGTGTCAGGCCCTGCCCTGGCAGGAAGCACCTTCAGTCCAGGCCACAGAGCAGGGCGGGTCCCTTCAGGGACACAGGGCCTTGCTTTGGGTGGTGGCAGCATCTGCACAGCAGCAAGCTGGTAATGCAGCTGTGACAGGGACATCACGTATGGGCATGGAGATGTGAAATGTGTGGTGCAGGTGTCCCTGAGGGAGGTGTTGGCCTTTCCTGTGAAGCTGCAGTGGGGAAGCTGTTGAGAGAGGAGATGGCTGAGGCCCCCTGAAGACTAAGAGCTGAATGTGGATGGGCTTAGCAACTGGTCTGCAGGCCAAACAATTGAGTTAGCAAAAGAAGAAATAGAGAAAATACAAGTTTATCCATAGCAAGGAAGAAAGCAAGGCCGTTAGCATGGAAACCAATAAAAAGGTGCATAAGGGGTATTTGCAGTTGTAATAAATGGAATTGGTTCATGCTCACTAAATTGTAGCTGTTCTTAAAGTTATTATTAGAAACAATCAAGAATCAGTGTTACAAAGCAGATGTACCCCTTTGCAGATGTTACATGTCAAAATTGAGGTACAGGATGTAGTTTAGAAGATAAATGGTGTCTCAAGACCAAAATGGCCTTGAGATGGACCAAAATTAGAAGAAATTTAGGCATTGGGCGTAAGGATTAGTAAACATAAGGCTAATTAGTAGACTAACATAACACAAGGCTTAGTACGCACATACAAACCTGTAAGGTTATCCAAAGGACAATGAGGAAGAAGAGAAGCCTTCACCAAAAGACCACCAAAAGAAGACTGAAGACCTCCTAACAACAAGTGAGGCATGTGCCGTGAAGAAAAGTGACGTATAATCAGAAAAATCGGAAATAGGAGGAAACTTACAGGAAACATTAATGAATATGTATAAGCATGCAGTATATGAGTTTAGCTTGAAGTGCTTTGTTTTGAAGGTGAGGCAGGGTGGGAAGCCTCCGTACCCTGGTGGGTTTTGCTTATGCTTTAATCATACTTAATTACTAGTAGATTATATATATAAATTTTAATTTTTTATTAAACTGTATTATTTTACAAAACTGTATTCTTTTATACCACATTACTATTCAGATTAGTAAATTGTATTCATTTTTAATTAAACTGCCATTAAGCCAAGGGACCTAGTTGTCAAAATTCTAATTTCATTTATAACAATATTTTAACAAAGAAAGCTGGTACAACAACATTGGTATTTAAAAAACATGACACAATATGAGCTATATTAACAAAGAAGGCACCTTATGGTGACAACATTCTACTGTTCAAACTGTAAAATATCTTTCTGTATTGATCAGGAGGTCAGGATTTACTCTTTACAATCCTGATGCTGAATATCTCCTTAGGGAGTCTGGTCACAAAGAAGAATGAATCCCTTGCAGGCTGCCCCTGTTTGGACAACCTGCTCCTCACCCCGAGCCTCAGCATGTCTGACATGGCCCACCTGGGACTGACATCCTAAAACATTGATAACATTTATCAACTTCTCTTTATCAATAAAATTGAATTAATTAATAAAAATAAAATTTTATTATTTTATAATAATATTGTTCTGTATTTTTATAACCTAATTTTTATATTTATATAAAATAATTGATACATTTTTAGCAACTAAAAACATTATTGGTCCTTGGTTCAAAGTTCCACCTTCATTAATTAATTGATCACTATTTCTCCCTCCTTATGCTAATTACACCTATTTTTAGTCCTTTGATCATATTTTTTAATCATTTTCTCAGAC